CCTAAGTCAGGAATCTGATGTTCAGTAGTTGTCGTTTGTTGATGTGGTTCATAAGTGTTTCTCATTTTTCGTTTTTATATAGATTAGACCGTTGGTTTTTCCCGTTTGAATGGTTTTACACTAGTAATTTTTGGGGCCCTTTATAGCTTACGGTTCGGTGTGAGCCAAGGCTCCGTGTTGAAGACCGTACTGTGACCTATAATGGTTTACTTTTATAAATTTTGACTTGGATGGAGAGTCGTCTCATTGGCACTCATACAACATCTTCTTAATTCTCTTTACTGCAGGGTTTGTTGCTCGTGTTGTGTGGATGCAGTAGAATGTGTCCCCGTGCTTGTGGTGTATGCCCTTATATTTTTCAATTATTGGTTGTTTGCCTGTGAGAGAGCTTTCACATGTTTATTATATCTTTGTTCTTAATTGTCAATTATATATTATGGTGTTTGGATGTGTAAATACTCATCCACGCCTGCTATTTTTATTATTGCCCCCTGCTATGGTTTTACTAAGATTTCTTACAATCTCTATTAAGAAGCAAAACATATCATTTTGTGTTTTTTTTTGCGATTAGAATTCTTTTCATCTGCAAGGAAAATCGATTTCTAGAAGCCATAAATTTTAAAGCAAATTGCGAAAATAACACGAGAAATTAATTTATGACTATTTATTTCTCTCTTTTTATTCATATACTTCTTTATCTTTTGTTTTACTGAAATAGTGTTTTACTACATGTTATGTGGCATTGTACTATTGTATATTGTCCTCTAGAAGTCTTTCCTAATTATGTTAAAACTGACAAGTTTCATCTGGTTTCTTTTTTAATGTGATTGTTATTCATTTTTAGTTTTTGACTAAGTGCATGAACTGGATGTTACAGTAATTGAATACAACAAGAACGGCTTACAGTTCATTGGTAAAGCAGCTCATTTTAGGCTATCATGTTGCTAAAGTCGTGGTTATATTACAATAAGACCCTTGAGTGAATGACCTGACAGTGCATGGGCTACATAATTTCAGTAGGTTGTTTTAAATGGTTCCTTACACCGCAACTAGTCCATTTGAATAGTGGAATTGTATAGACTGTTTACATGTTTGTGATATAAAGTCTCTTTTGTAGTGTTATCACTTTGTGTCCGTATAAATAAATTATGGCGTCACAAATGATAATACAGTTTCACTTCATCTGCTTCCATTCCAAAAATTTAGATTTCAATTGTCATAACCACAGCTGTCCGCTCATATCACCGAATGAGACTTATCGCCGAATTTTACTTCCCATGAGCAACACGATGGGTGCAACATGTGGAACTGAATCTACTTAGCCATCCGTAGCTCCTGATATCAAGCCTAGTTTTGTTCAAAAAAGGGGTTTGCGTTGCTCTTGCTTAAGGTTTCAGTATTGTCCTTTTTACGTTTTGAATGTCTTTGTTTTTTTTAAACCGGTAACAGTCTTATTTTTCCTTATCCTGAAAGACAGCGTTTCAATTTCAAAATTTTTCATTCGGTACGTTTTCTGGTTAGAAAATTCACATGACCAATGATTTACGAATTTTGGTGATGTCTGAGGGTTAGATGAGATTCCATTACTGATTTTGCTGGATGCATAATCAGTTGATATTACTTCTCTGAATATTTTATAGGAGTAGGATGTTTTCCTTCCGGGGCACCTTAGATCACCCAAGTTTTAATTTGGGCTCATGTTGCCCAGTCTTTTGTTTTCTATGTAATGTTTTGTGGTCTTTGTTCTTTCATCGTTCTCCTGTTTTTGCCATGGCGTTGCTAGTTTCTCTTCTTCTTATACGTTTTGATTGTCAAATTGAAATCTTCTGCCTCTTTTATCAATACATTTTTAGCTCACCGGGGCCCGAAGGGCCCCATGTGAGCTTATGCCATCACTGGGGGTCCGTCGTCGTCTGTCGTCGTAAACTATTTCAAAAATCATCTCCTCTGAAACTACTGGGCCAAATACCTTCAAACTTTAACTAAATGTTCCTTAGGGTATCTAGTTTATAAATTGTATCCGAAGTTTTGATCCATCGACAAATATGGCCGCCATGGCTAAAAATAGAACATAGGGGTCAAATGCAGTTTTTGGCTTATATCTCAAAAACTAAAGCTTTTAGAGCAAATCTGACATGGGGTACAATTGTTTAATTGGTCAACATCTATCAGCTCTGAAATTTTCAGACGAATCGAACAAGCCATTGTTGGGTGGCTGCCACCGAATTGGTAGTTTTAACAAAATTTTGCAGTTTTTTGTTATTAATTTGAATATTATTATAGATATATAAAAATTGTAAGCAGCAATAATGTTCAGCAAAGTAAGATCTACAAAAAAGTTAATATGACCATAATTGTCAATTGACCCCTTAAGGAGTTAGTGCCCTTTAAAAACAATTTTACACAATTTGTTCATCAAGTTTGCTAACATTTAAAAATCTTCTCCTCTGAAACTACTGGGCCAATTATCTTCAAACTTAAACTAAATGTTCCTTAGGGTATTTTGTTTATAAATTGTATCCGAAGTTTGTATCCATCGACAAACATGGCCGCCATGGCTAAAAATAGATCATAAGGGTTAAATGCAGTTTTTGGCTTATATCTCAAAAACTAAATGTTTAAGAGCAAATGCGACGGGGTAAAATTGTTTAATTAGTCAAGATCTATCGGCCCTGAAATTTTCAGACGAATCGAACAACCCATTGTTGGGTTGCTGCCACCGAATTGGTAGTTTTAACAAAATTTTGCATTTTTTTGTTATTATTTTGAATATTATTATAGATATATATAAACTGTAAGCAACAATAATGTTCAGCAAAGTAAGATCTACAAAAAAGTTAATATGACCATAATTGTCAATTGACCCCTTAAGGAGTTATTGCCCTTTAAAACAATTTTACACAATTTGTTCATCAAGTTTGCTAACATTTAAAAATCTTCTCCTCTGAAATACAGGTGAGCGATTCAGGCTCTTGAGAGCCTCTTGTTTTTTATCAAGCTTCATGATATTTATGTAAGAAAAATTTTACCATGTCAATAAATTCCTTACCGGTCTTACCATTGATAATAATCTTTTCTTACGTGTTGACAAAGTCATGGTCTAATTTCGACAAAATATGGGTTGTCAATATTTTACAACTCTTTAATGCTCGGTATAAAGATGGTGACAAAAATAATGCCTTCCCATGTTGAAATAAGCATACAGCATGATTTTAAAGAATTATTGCGATTCTAATAAGTAAAATTCACTTTTGTAACGACCGTGATTCTTAAAAACAAGAAAAAAAATATTTGTTCGATCGTACAATTGAATGCGGTTGATACGATCGTGTCCTTAAAAACAAGACTTCAAGATCCAGTGGATTAAATTGATAACGGATTGATATAAGGTGACAGCTTGTTTCCGGATCCTATTAATTATTCAATTGTATTAATATGTTAATGTAAAATTGTGTACATTATTTCACTTGAATTTGATTAATAAAATAGGTTTACACTAAATTGATAACTTCCATACCATCGTAAAAAGTGAAGCCCAAAATACCAAGGGGAAATTCGTAAACCATAAGTAAACAAAATCTGAAAAATGGTAGATTTGTTTTCTTTTAACCATGAGCTGGGCATTTATATTCGTATTTTACCACTTGCTATCGCTCGGGATAAAATAATGGAGTATAAAGTCATAGTTTAAGGGAAAAAAATCTATGGCTGCCATGAATTATATCTTAACCCTTACTATGTAACAAAGCCTATTTGTATTCCTTTCAAATGCCAACGGTCTTTTTTTCTAATTACTACCACATTATATATTAATTAGTATTGTAATTTTCATTGTTATTAATAAATGTTATATGAGTATTTTAAACCAAATCTTGAATTCTATCCTAATTCTATCCTATTTTGGGGAAATATCAGAAATTCAAATGTGACGTCACCTTTTTTTTTTGCGTTGATCTCTTTGGCTAACTCGGCTGTGAATTTTTATGTGCTGGTTTATGTTGTTTAATGTGTCCGTTTTTATTCTGTAGGTAGTCACCACTTCGGTGGTATCATGTATATCTATTATATAGTCATTTTTTTATAAATTTACTGTTTACAAAAGTATGAATTATTCTAAATACTAAGGATTTTCTTATCCCAGACATATAACCTTAGCCGTATTTGGCAAAACTTTTTGGAACTTTTGGTCCTCAATGCTCTTCAACTTTGTACTGGTTTTGGCTTTCGAACTTTTTTTATCTGAGCGTCACTGGTTAGTCTTGTGTGAACGAAACGCCCGTCTTGCGTATTTAATTTTAAACCTGGTACTTTTTGTTAGCTATTATTCGTATGTTTCTCTGTCCTATATGTTCTATTTATTTGTATTGTAGTCCTGTCATGTAATGTTGTCATTTTAATGTTATATTTAACATTGCCATAAAAGCGGGAGGTTTGGCTAGCCACAAAACCAGGTTCAACCCCCCATTTTTTTTCTTAAAATGTCCTGTACCAAGTCAGGAAAATGGCCATTGTTATATTATAGTTCGTTTCTGTGTGTGTTACATTTTAATGTTGTGTTTCTGTTGTGTCGTAGTTCTCCTCTTATATTTAATGTGTTTCCCTCAGTTTTAGTTTGTAAACCGGATTTGTTTTTCTCAATCGATTTATGAATTTCGAACAGCGGTATACTACTGTTGCCTTTATTTAGGCTTTGCAACGGTTGCCTATATCGTCTTTTCTATAACAATGAACTTTACGTCACAGTTGAATAGAGGCAATACATACAGGCTCGACACGAGGTATATCAATAGTTTCAATGCGGGAATAGTTTTAAAGTTGATTGCAAGGGCAAGAATTTCCGCTATATCACATCATGAAAAACGCACGCAGACGGTTTTAAACGAAATATAATTACTAGTAAAATATACCGCATGACAAAAAAAAACATTTAAACTTTTAACATATTGCTGCAGCTGACATCTGTTACAACTTGTATAAACTTACAAGTTGATATAGAAGCTCTCGAGAATGAAATGTTATTTACATAGTACGCTTTAAACAATTTCGATAAATTGAAATAAGCATTGACAGGTTAGTGGAATAATTAGATTGACCCACGGTAGAGAAATATGTTATGTTATACGTTATCTGTAATGAATTGATTCAAGGCATATAACCGATTTTATGAACTTTTCATTGTATATATATAAAGATGAATCTTTTTTGTTGATGAATCAGTTATTTCTTACGAGTAAAACATATTATAATTTCGATTGTCTAGTATCAAGTATATGTAAATGTTGCTTTTAGTATTTTCTCTTTTATGTATTAATCAGTTGATTTAAAAAATGAAAAAAAGATGTGTTAAACGTCGTTCGTTTATTTAGTTGATAAGCTATCAAGGAAAAACAATTCGAGGTTTAGTAATAGCATGACCATGCTTAAACGATTTAGGGATTATAATGGCATAAAATATCATTTTTGGCAATGATGTTATCAGTAAATACAAAGAAATGAATTAAAATTGTAATAATTGATTTACGACAATTAAAACATAACCGTCGTCATCTGTGAAACAGATATTCCATAACGGTCAACCACCTCGTTATGGTGTCCGTTAAATATTCGATGGGATGATTTCAACTTCATCATTAGGGATTTTTTGTTCAATTGTTCCGAATTAATTTCCTTGTAAATAGGAAATCATAATAGAAAATGCATGCACAAAAGTCATATAGGAAAATCATATCATTTACAATTGCAAAAATGTTACAACATGAACATCCTGCTATAAACAGCATACCATTAGCAACTGCAAATGTGTAGCAACTTGAAAATCATACAATAAACAAGGCAAATTTGTATAAAAAGCATATCATTTATATCTGCAAATGTGTTACAACATGAAAATCATATCATTAACAACAGCAAATGTGTTACAACATAAAATCATACAATAAACAACGGCAAATTTGTATATAAAACTTATCATTAACAACTGCAAATGTGTTACAACATGAAAATCATATCATTAACAACAGCAAATGCGTTACAACATAAAATCACACAATGAACAACGGCAAAGTTGTATAAAAAGCATATCATTTACATCTGAAAATGTGTAGCAACTTGAATTCATACAATAAACAACGGAACATTTGTGTAAAAAGCATATCATTAACAACTGCAAATGTGTAGCAACTTGAAAATCATACAATAAACAACGGCGCATTTGTATAAAAAGCATATCATTTACATCTGCAAATGTGTAACAACTGCAAATGTGTTACAACATGAAAATCATACAATGAACAACGGCACATTTGTATAAAAAACATAGCATTAACATCTGCAAATGTGTTACAACATGAAAATCATATCATTAACAACAGCAAATGTGTTACAACATAAAATCACACAATTAACAACGGCAACGCTGTATAAAAAGCATATCATTTACATCTGCAAATTTGAAGCAACTTGAAAATCATACAATAAACAACGGCACATTTGTATAAAAAGCATATCATTAACAACTGCAAATGTGTAACAACTTGAAAATCATACAATAAACAACGGCGCATTTGTATAAAAAGCATATCATTTACATCTACAAATGTGTAACAACTGCAAATGTGTTACAACATGAAAATCATACAGTGAACAACGGCACATTTGTATAAAAATCATATCATTAACAACTGCAAATGTGTATAACGAGTAAAACATATTATAATTTCGATTGTCTAGTATCAAGTATATGTAAATGTTGCTTTTAGTATTTTCTCTTTTATGTATTAATCAGTTGATTTAAAAAATGAAAAAAAGATGTGTTAAACGTCGTTCGTTTATTTAGTTGATAAGCTATCAAGGAAAAACAATTCGAGGTTTAGTAATAGCATGACCATGCTTAAACGATTTAGGGATTATAATGGCATAAAATATCATTTTTGGCAATGATGTTATCAGTAAATACAAAGAAATGAATTAAAATTGTAATAATTGATTTACGACAATTAAAACATAACCGTCGTCATCTGTGAAACAGATATTCCATAACGGTCAACCACCTCGTTATGGTGTCCGTTAAATATTCGATGGGATGATTTCAACTTCATCATTAGGGATTTTTTGTTCAATTGTTCCGAATTAATTTCCTTGTAAATAGGAAATCATAATAGAAAATGCATGCACAAAAGTAATATAGGAAAATCATATCATTTACAATTGCAAAAATGTTACAACATGAACATCCTGCTATAAACAGCATACCATTAGCAACTGCAAATGTGTAGCAACTTGAAAATCATACAATAAACAAGGCAAATTTGTATAAAAAGCATATCATTTATATCTGCAAATGTGTTACAACATGAAAATCATATCATTAACAACAGCAAATGTGTTACAACATAAAATCATACAATAAACAACGGCAAATTTGTATATAAAACTTATCATTAACAACTGCAAATGTGTTACAACATGAAAATCATATCATTAACAACAGCAAATGCGTTACAACATAAAATCACACAATGAACAACGGCAAAGTTGTATAAAAAGCATATCATTTACATCTGAAAATGTGTAGCAACTTGAATTCATACAATAAACAACGGAACATTTGTGTAAAAAGCATATCATTAACAACTGCAAATGTGTAGCAACTTGAAAATCATACAATAAACAACGGCGCATTTGTATAAAAAGCATATCATTTACATCTGCAAATGTGTAACAACTGCAAATGTGTTACAACATGAAAATCATACAATGAACAACGGCACATTTGTATAAAAAACATAGCATTAACATCTGCAAATGTGTTACAACATGAAAATCATATCATTAACAACAGCAAATGTGTTACAACATAAAATCACACAATTAACAACGGCAACGCTGTATAAAAAGCATATCATTTACATCTGCAAATTTGAAGCAACTTGAAAATCATACAATAAACAACGGCACATTTGTATAAAAAGTATATCATTAACAACTGCAAATGTGTAACAACTTGAAAATCATACAATAAACAACGGCGCATTTGTATAAAAAGCATATCATTTACATCTGCAAATGTGTAACAACTGCAAATGTGTTACAACATGAAAATCATACAGTGAACAACGGCACATTTGTATAAAAATCATATCATTAACAACTGCAAATGTGTATAACAACAGGAACATCATTCCATTAACAACTGATGAGGGCAACAGCTCACATATTTTTAATCCTTTAGTTTAACCTGGATATGAAAGGCAGTATTTTCTATTTTATTTTAGATGATATAAACTCTATGAATTCGTTGCTAAATGAAATTTGTCCCCAAAGCTCTTAACCTTAAAACAACAATTACTTTTATAAATATTTGCCACTATTGTGTAGATATAAGCGAATGGCTGACGATGGCATTCATTTTTGTTTAGAACATTTAACCAAAAATGTAATTGAGTGTTCTGAAGACGTTGGAATCAGTGTTTTAAGTTGTATAAAATTTAAGGTATTGAAGTGTGAAAGGCAGTTCACAAATATTATTTTCGTGACATATCAGTCAAAATTAGGATCAAAACATTCAAAATTGATAGTATCGAAAGGTTGTAAGTCCAAAGAGTCAACTTGGTAAGCATCTCCTGATATACGTTATTTGTTTGATTATGCATACAAACTATTTTAGCCTTTTCTACTGGTTAACGTTAGGCAAAATGCAATCGATCTCATTCGATCAATTACACGCAGATGTTTCTTGTTGTAAACAATATTTCCATTTTTCTGTTTTTTCAAACAAATATCATCTCCACTAACTTGGAATTTATTGGAAGTAGCAATGAACACTGTTGTGGTAACGCAAAAAGTGTTAAAAAATGTCTAGATCTGCAAAACTGCTCTTGTCTTTATAATATTTCTACAAACGTTGTCCATGTATCTACATTTGGATTTCAAAATATACAGCTATGATAACATCAATTACATGGCAGGTAGAATAAACAGAACACCTGGAATGCAGAAAAGGCATAGCAGTCCTATGCGATGGGATAGAAATCAAAAGTACAGATTTAACTGTACCAATATGTATAAAATACAAATATCAGAGTATAACAGAGGAGGAGGATGGTCAAAAATTGTCGACATTGGTACATTCAAAAATCAAAAAGTTGTCATTCAAAGACTGCCACCTTCCAAAAAAACGAAAATCCGTCGAAACAGAAGATTGGTCTTGTTTATGAAAAATCTACCGATGAGAGATCAACTGAAACACCCCTCAATAATTAAAATGTAAGGATACTGCTTACGACATATTAAAGGTGAAGGTCACAGCAATTCTTCATATTACGGAGATCTCTCGGTTGTTTTCGAATATGGTATTGAACTAGACCTGAACGCATTAAATCTTACAATTTGAGAGAGATTGAATCATGCTGCTGACCTTGCTAGTTTGTTATCCTACCTGCATAATTCACCTTTGGGATCATTGGAAGATTTCGACATTAAGCCCGCACATTTTAAAATGGTGAATGGTAAAAGAAAACTGATAGATTTATATTTTATGAAAAATGTGGAACCGATCCGCTTTTTGTCCTCCTCGCATAAGAATTTCAAACCATGTCCATTTAACATTAGTTGTCAAGAACTAAATGACGTCGAAATGCGGTATACAAATTGTCAAACAGTCCCATGTGAGGTGGGTGTTTGTAGAGGTACAAATGTTAAATATAATCTACAAAAAATAAACAAAATCTTCTTCCAGGTTTTGTTGAAACCAACATTTTTTCCATCTGCATTGAAATTTTCGTTATCCAGGTTACTGACACAATTGAATAAGACTAATATTGGCGTTGATGCTTTAGAAAAAGAAATTAGGAACATAACACTCGTTTATACAAATTTGAGCACGCATTAGAAGAGACTGCTCTGAGAATAAAAACAAAAAGACAGAAGCAATTTTTTTTCTTGTTACTTTTCGAAATACAATATTATCATTATAATTATAAGTAGTTGCAGAAGTAGTAAAAGAAGTAATAGAGGTTGAATTTTCCTCAAAATATTGCATAAGATGCACCATTACAGAAGGTAAAAAAATGAACATTAAAAACAGCATTCATATACAATTTAAGATCAATGTCAGGAAATATTGACTTTTTGACAATGTTAAGAAACTGAGGAAGGGCAAGTTTTACCGTGTGCTTCTTCATTTTTATGCCGGATGATATGAGATGTGATTTGATTGCCAAATGAAAAAACTTTCCCCCAAAACATAGATGACGTGAAGAGCCGATGGAAGTCGTTTATTGGGCATTCTTATTTTTACAAATTCTGTTAAGAAATGCTAAATACAACATAAAATCATACAATAAACAACGGCAAATTTGTATAAAAAGCATATCATTAACAACTGCAAATGTGTTACAACATGAAAATCATATCATTAACAACAGCAAATTGGTTACAACATAAAATCACACAATGAACAACGGCAAAGTTGTATAAAAAGCATATCATTTACATCAGCAAATGTGTAGCAACTTGAAAATCATACAATAAACAACGGCACATTTGTATAAAAAGCATATCATTAACAACTGCAAATGTGTAGCAACTTGAAAATCATACAATAAACAACGGCACATTTGTATGAAAAGCATATCATTTACATCTGCAAATGTGTAACTACAGACAATTCATATCATTAACAACTGCAAATGTGTTACAACATGAAAATCATACAATGAACAACGGCACATTTGTATAAAAATCATATCATTAACAACTGCAAATGTGTATAACAACAGGAACATCATACCATTAACAACTGATGAGGGCAACAGCTCACATATTTGTAATCCTTTAGTTTAACCTGGATATGAAAGGCAGTATTTTCTATTTTATTTTAGATGATATAAATTCTATAAATTCGTTGCTAAATGAAATTTGTCCCCAAAGCTCTTAACCTTAAAACAACAATTACTTTTTTAAATGTTTGCCATTATCGTGTAGGTATAAGCGAATGTCTGTCAATCATAGCATCTCTCTACCAAGAGACAATATTGTGTGTACGTTTTGAACGATGGCATACATTTTTGTTAAGAACATTTAACCAAAAATGTAATTGAGTGTTCTGAAGACGTTGGAATCAGTGTTTTAAGTTGTATAAAATTTAAGGTATTAAAGTGTGAAAGGCAGTTCACAAATATAATTTTCGTGACATATCAGTCATAAATAGGATCAAAACATTCAAAATTGATAGTATCAAAAGGTTGTGAGTCCAAAAGAGTCAACTTGGTAAGCATCTCCTGATATACGTTATTTGTTTGATTATGCAAACAAACTATTTTAGCCTTTTTTACTGGTTAACGTTAGGCAAAATGCAATCGATCTCATTCGATCAATTACACGCAGATGTTTCTTGTTGTAAACAATATTTCCATTTTTCTGTTTTTTTTTCAGACAAATATCACTCCACTAACTTGGAATTTATTGGAAGTAGTAATGAACACTGTCGTGGTAACGCAAAAAGTGTTAAAAAATGTCTTCAAAACTGCTCTTGTCTTTATAATATTTCTACAAACGTTATCCATGTATCTACATTTGGATTTCAAAATATACAGCTATGCTAAAATCAATTACATGGCAGGGAGAATAAACAGAACACCTGGAATGCAGAAAAGGCATAGCAGTTCTATGCGATGGGATAGAAATCAAAAGTACAGATTTAACTGTACCAATATGAATAAAATACAAATATCAGAGTATAACAGAGGAGGAGGGTGGTCAAAAATTGTCGACATTGGTACATTTGAAAATCAAAAAGTTGTCATTCAAAGACTGTCACCTTCCAAAAAACCGAAAATCAGTCAAAACAGAAGATTGGTCTTGTTTATGAAAAATCTACTGATGAGAGATCAACTGAACCACCCCTCAATAATTAAAATGTTAGGATACTGCTTACGACATATTAAAGGTGAAGGTCACAGCAATTCTTCATATTACGGAGATCTCTCGGTTGTTTTCGAATATGGTACTGAACTAGACCTGAACGCATTAAATCTTACAATTGGTGAGAGATTGAATCATGCTGCTGACCTTGCTAGTTTGTTGTCCTACCTGCATAATTCACCTTTGGGATCATTGGAAGATTTCGACATTAAGCCCGCACATTTTAAAATGGTAAATGGTAAAATAAAACTGATAGATTTAGATTTTATGAAAAATGTGGAACCGATCTGCTTTTTGTCCTCCTCGCATAAGAATTTCAAGCCATGTCCATTTAACATTAGTTGTCAAGAACTAAATGACGTCGAAATGCGGTATACAAATTGTCAAACAGTCCCATGTGAGGTGGGTGTTTGTAGAGGTACAAATGTTAAATATAATCTACAAAAAATAAACACAATCTTCTTCCAGGTTTTGTTGAAACCAACATTTTTCCCATTTGCATTGAACTTTTCGTTATCCAGGTTACTGACACAATTGAATAAGACTAATATTGGCGTTGATGCTTTAGAAAAAGAAATTAGGAGCATAACACTCGCTTATACAAATTTGAGCACGCATTAGAAGAGACTGCTCTGAGAATAAAAATAAAGACAGAAGCAGTTTTTTTCTTGTTACTTTTCAAAATACAATATTATCATTATAATTATAAGTAGTTGCAGAAGTAGTAAAAGAAGTAATAAAGGTTGAATTTTCCATAAAATATTGCATAAGATGCACCATTGCCGAAGGTAAAAAAATGAACATTTAAAACAGCATTCATATACAATATAAGATCAATGTCAGAAAATATTGACTTTTTGACAATGTTAAGAAACTGAGGAAGGGCAAGTTTTACCGTGTGCTTCTTCGTTTTTATGCCGGATGATATGATATGTGATTTGATTGCCAAATGAGACAACTATCCCCCAAAACATAGATGACGTGAAGAGCCGATGGAAGTCGTTTATTGGGCATTCTTATTTTTACAAATTCTGTTAAGAAATGCTAAATACAACATAAAATCATACAATAAACAACGGCAAATTTGTATAAAAAGCATATCAGTAACAACTGCAAATGTGTTACAACATAAAATTACACAATGAACAACGGCAAAATTGTATAAAAAGCATATCATTTACATCTGCAAAGTGTAGCAACTTGAAAATCATACAATAAACAACGGCACATTTGTATAAAAATTATATAATTTACATCTGCAAATGTGTAACAACAGAAAATTCATATCATTAACAACTGGAAATGTGTTACAACATGAAAATCATACAATGAACAACGCCACATTTGTATAAAAATCATATCATTAACAACTGCAAATGTGTATAACAACAGGAACATCATACCATTAACCACTGATGAGGGCAATAGCTCACACATTTTTAATCCTTTAGTTTAACCTGGATATGAAATGCAGTATTATCTATTTTATTTAAGATGATATAAATTCTATAAATTCGTTGCTAAATGAAATTTGTCCCAAAAGCTCTTAACCTTAAAACAACAATTACTTTTTTAAATATTTGCCACTATCGTGTAGGTATAAGCGAATGGCTGACAAACATAGCATCTCTCTACCAAGAGTCAATATTGTGTGTACCTTTTGAACGATGGCATACATTTTTGTTCAGAACATTTAACCAAAAATGTAATTGAGTGTTCTGAAGACGTTGGAATCAGTGTTTTAAGTTGTATAAAATTTAAGGTAGAAGTGTGAAAGGCAGTTCACAAATATAATTTTCGTGACATATCAGTCATAAATAGGATCAAAACATTCAAAATTGATAGTATCGAAAGGTTGTGAGTCCAAAAAAGTCAACTTGGTAAGCATCTCCTGATATACGTTATTTGTTTGATTATGCATACAAACTATTTTAGGCTTTTTTACTGGTTAACGTTAGGCAATATGCAATCTATCTCATTCGATCAATTACACGCAGATGTTTCTTGTTGTAAACAATATTTCCATTTTTCTGTTTTATCAGACAAATATCATCTCCACTAACTTGGAATTTATTGGAAGTAGTAATGAACACTGTCGTGGTAACGCAAAAAGTGTTAAAAAATGTCTTCAAAACTGCTCTTGTCTTTATAATATTTCTACAAATGTTATCTATATATCTACATTTGGATTTCAAAATATACAGCTATGCTAAAATCAATTACATGGCAGGTAGAATAAACAGAACATCTGTTATGCAGAAAAGGCATAGCAGTCCTATGCAATGGGATAGAAATCAAAAGTAAAGATTTAACTGTACCAATATGAATAAAATACAAATATCAGAGTATAACAGAGGAGGAGGGTGGTCAAAAATTGTCGACATTGGTACATTCGAAAATCAAAAAGTTGTCATTCAAAGACTGTCACCTTCCAAAACACCGGAAATCCGTCGAAACAGAAGATTTATCTTGTTTATGAAAAGTTAACTGATGAGAGATCAACTGAACCACCCCTCAATAATTAAAATGTTTGGATACTGCTTACGACATATTAAAGGTGAAGGTCACAGCAATTCTTCATATTACGGAGATCTCTCGGTTGTTTTCGAATATGGTATTGAACTAGACCTAAGGTAGCACTCCACAGTTAGGTGTGTAGTTTCGCATTTTGGCCCCTGTGGATTTTTCAAATATGATAGCTAGTGTAGAATAAAATTCATTTTTGGATAGCTGAAGATTAAAATAGCCTTCATAGTGGGTTTATAGGAACATCAAGATTATGTAATGTATGTAATATGGGCTGTTTTCTGTATGACAGTCCGTATTTTCATATCCATACCAAATATTGGTCCGGCAATTATTGTAATGTTTTTTTCCGACTTTTTGTCGCACGAACTTTGCAATTAAATTTTATGAAAAAATGAGGCGAAAGACACCCATTTTTTATTTGATCATTTGGTAGATTTATATCAACAGTTTCTGAAAAGGTATCACTGAAAGGCATTGAAATTCTAGTTTGAACCAAATTTTGGGGGAATATGTGACATTTTTGCCCCCCTTTTTGCAATATTTTATGGTAAATAAATGCAGAATGTTGCCATGGATACACAAAAAAGGAATTATTTTTCACCATTTTAACTTTTAAAAATCAAATCTATGGAAGATACTGATAACATACATATGCACATGTATAACACAAACAGTTAGGTTAATGTATTAGAAAGCCAGGAATAGAAGATGATAAAACATTTTGTGGTTCAATTTTAATGTTTTTTTCTAACTGTGGAGTGCTACCTTATGGGACATCAGAAAGCACAGAAATGCACTTTTTAAGATAAATTTAACCACAAATCTTTAGTCTGTTAGGTTCTTAATGTAGTTCTGAAGGGAAAAAAGTTGCTAGGATTGCAATACATGTTAATTTTATTGTTTACTGTCCTTAGCAACCAAATATACACATTTTGACACTAAGACATGTTTCTGTCTTAAATTTGTACTCCATTAGCTTCGCCCTTGTAACCAAAGATTGCGCTTTATATGATAGCCTCAGAATATATCGCTTTATATTTTTTAATGCGAATAAGTCAAATAAACATTTTTAGCAGGATTTTATATAATAATTTGGCATGAATGAAATTTAATGATGCCAGTACTGTTAGATATTTATACCCTGCTTAAAAGTTTCTAAAACTAGGTTTGGCATGCTATTTACAGCAAAATTGACCTATAAATGCTTTCAAATACCTAAAAATTGTACAATTTTTCTTCTTTAAAGGTTATTTTATGATTTTAAACAGAAAAAAGGGAAAAGTTTTAGAAATTTACCCCAAAAATGTGACAGGCTTGAGGTTTTACACTTTGATCAGGCATTTTTTTTTAAATGACTTTTTGTCCCGTTTAACATCAAGTGCTAACCTTCATAAAATCTTTATTACTGAACCAATTTTAAAAACTATGGTACCATTTTAATCGTTACAGCTAGTAGAACACAGGAAGTGAATTTGAATTTGAGGCAGGGAAAAAAATTTGATATTAAGGTAGGACTCCACAGTTAGGTGTGTAGTTTCGCATTTTGGCCCCTGTGGATTTTTCAAATATGATAGCTAGTGTAGAATAAAATTCATTTTTGGATAGCTGAAGATTAAAATAGCCTTCATAGTGGGTTTATAGGAACATCAAGATTATGTAATGTATGTAATATGGGCTGTTTTCTGTATGACAGTCCGTATTTTCATATCCATACCAAATATTGGTCCGGCAATTATTGTAATGTTTTTTTCCGACTTTTTGTCGCACGAACTTTGCAATTAAATTTTATGAAAAAATGAGGCGAAAGACACCCATTTTTTATTTGATCATTTGGTAGATTTATATCAACAGTTTCTGAAAAGGTATCACTGAAAGGCATTGAAATTCTAGTTTGAACCAAATTTTGGGGGAATATGTGACATTTTTGCCCCCCTTTTTGCAATATTTTATGGTAAATAAATGCAGAATGTTGCCATGGATACACAAAAAAGGAATTATTTTTCACCATTTTAACTTTTAAAAATCAAATCTATGGAAGATACTGATAACATACATATGCACATGTATAACACAAACAGTTAGGTTAATGTATTAGAAAGCCAGGAATAGAAGATGATAAAACATTTTGTGGTTCAATTTTAATGTTTTTTTCTAACTGTGGAGTGCTACCTTATGGGACATCAGAAAGCACAGAAATGCACTTTTTAAGATAAATTTAACCACAAATCTTTAGTCTGTTAGGTTCTTAATGTAGTTCTGAAGGGAAAAAAGTTGCTAGGATTGCAATACATGTTAATTTTATTGTTTACTGTCCTTAGCAACCAAATATACACATTTTGACACTAAGACATGTTTCTGTCTTAAATTTGTACTCCATTAGCTTCGCCCTTGTAACCAAAGATTGCGCTTTATATGATAGCCTCAGAATATATCGCTTTATATTTTTTAATGCGAATAAGTCAAATAAACATTTTTAGCAGGATTTTATATAATAATTTGGCATGAATGAAATTAAATGATGCCAGTACTGTTAGATATTTATACCCTGCTTAAAAGTTTCTAAAACTAGGTTTGGCATGCTATTTACAGCAAAATTGACCTATAAATGCTTTCAAATACCTAAAAGTTGTACAATTTTTCTTCTTTAAAGGTTATTTTATGATTTTAAACAGAAAAAAGGGAAAAGTTTTAGAAATTTACCCCAAAAATGTGACAGGCTTGAGGTTTTACACTTTGATCAGGCATTTTTTTTTAAATGACTTTTTGTCCCGTTTAACATCAAATGCTAACCTTCATAAAATCTTTATTACTGAACCAATTTTAAAAACTATGGTACCATTTTAATCGTTACAGCTAGTAGAACACAGGAAGTGAATTTGAATTTGAGGCAGGGAAAAAAAATTTGATATTAAGGTAGCACTCCACAGTTAGGTGTGTAGTTTCGCATTTTGGCCCCTGTGGATTTTTCAAATATGATAGCTAGTGTAGAATAAAATTCATTTTAGGATAGCTGAAGATTAAAATAGCCTTCATAGTGGGTTTATAGGAACATCAAGATTATGTAATGTATGTAATATGGGCTGTTTTCTGTATGACAGTCCGTATTTTCATATCCATACCAAATATTGGTCCGGC